GCAACACAGCAAAACCCCAACACTACAAAAAAATGTGTGAGTTGGCTGGGCATGGTAGCATGTGCCCGTAGTCCCAGCTATTCAGGAGGCTGAGGCAGGAGAATCACTTGAGCCAGGGAGGTTGAGGCTAAGTGAGCCATGATCACATCACTGCACTCCAACGTGGGTGACGAAGTAAGATCTTATCTCAAAAACAAACAAAAGTAGAATGGTTCTGGGTGTGGTTACTCACACTTTGGGAGGCTGAGGCCAGAGGCCAGGAGTTCAAGATGAGCCTGGGCACCACAGGGAGACCCCGTATCTACAAAAAGTAAAGTAGCTGGGCATGGTAGCAAGTGGCTATAGTCCCAGCTACTCAGTAGAAGGAGGTGAGGGAATTGCTTGAACCCAGGAGGTTGAGGCTGCATGGAGCTGAGATTGTGCCACTATACTCAAGCCTGGGCAACAGAGTGAAACCTTGTTTTAAAAGAAGAAACGAAATGGATAGGGCTGGGCATGATGGCCCACACTCATAATCCCAGTGCTTTGGGAGGCCAACATGGAAGGATCACCTGAGGCCCAGGAGTTTAAAATTCCACTGAGCTGTGATTGTCAGAGGCGTTTGAACCAGAGCAACTTCATCTTGAGTGGGGGCTGGGTAAAATGAGGCTGAGACCTACTGGGCTGCATCCCAGACAGTTAGGCATTCTAAGCCACAGGATGAGACAGGAGATCAGCACAATATACAGGTCATAAAGACCTTGCTGATAAAACAGGTTGCAGTAAGGAAGTTGGCCAAAACCCACCAAAACTAAGGTGGTGATGATCGTCCTCACTGCTACACTCCCTTTGGCACCATAACAGTTTACAGATGCCATGGCAACATCAGGAAGTTACCCTATATGGTTAGAAAACGAGAGGCATGAATAATCCACCCCTTGGTTAGCATATCACCCAGAAATAACCATAAAAATGGGCATCCAGCAGCCCTTGGGGCTGCTCTGTCTGTGGAGTAGCCATTCTTTTATTCCTTTACTTTCCTAATAAACTTGCTTTTGATTTACTCTAGGACTCACTCTGAATTCTTTCTTGTGCAAGAACCAAAAAACCCCTCTTGGTGCTTGGATTGGGACCTCTTTCTTGTAATATCTTTCTGGCAACCACGAAGGGATATGTGGAAACTCTTGACCCAAAGGCTAACTGGGTAAGTGGTGGGGTCCAGTAACATTTGTCTGGCAAACCCTGAAGGGATGACACTGAAGAAGTCCCGTCACTCACAGGAAATAGACTGCAGCACTGACTGGTGGACTTTGGGTAAGCTGATGGGGTACCTGGGCAAAGAATGGGATTGGGTTAGAGGCCCAACTCAAAGGAGTGAAAGAAGCTCCTCTCGGCTAAGAATGGGTTTGGCTCTACAGGATGTTAACTGCTATTCTCTTTGGAATAATCTGCTTTGCACTCTTTGCTGATGACTGTGGGTGACAGGATTAGGCACATACAGAATTATGGGACATGGGAAGCTTTTTCTCCCTAAAAGAGGAAACTTGAGAGCTGATAGGAAAAGATCCCTTCTGGACAGACAAGCAGCCACCTGAACTTTTGAGCAATGGGTGGGTCTTTCTCTGGCCTCCCAGAGCTCTTCGATTTCCCCACCCTGCCTCAGGCAATGCTCTCTCTCTCTCTCTCTCTCTCTCTCTCTCTCTCTCTCTCTCTCTCTCTCTCACTTTCTCTCTCTCTTTTCTCTCTCTCTCACCCCCTCCACCCCACCTCCCCACTCCCCCAACCCCTGTGCAAACAGGTTAAATGAATGGTAAAAGTCACTGTTTTTTGCCGGGCGAGGTGGCTCATGCCTGTAATCCCAGCACTTTGGGAGACCGAGGAGGGCAGATCGCCTGAGCTCAGGAATTTGGCACCAGCTTGGGCAACACAGTGAAACCCCATCTCTACTAAAAATAAAAAAAAATTAGCCAGGCGTGGTGGCGAGCACCCGTAGTCCCTTAGCTACTCGGGAGGCTGAGGCAGGAGAATCGCTTGAACCCGGGAGGCAGAGGTTGCAGTGAGCCAAGATCGTGCCACCATACTCCAGCCTGGGCAACATAGTGAGACTCTGGCACAAATAAACATCACTGTTTATCTCCTCCATAAAGTTTTGATTAATGGAACTAAGGATTAATGAGGCTAATCTTAAACTGTAGTGAATCTGGTGTGCTTTGAGTATCCTGTATTGTTCCACCATATTGAGGAGAACCTTAGGATAGAATGCGGGCCCAGGACCCCGATATGTCTACTGTTCAAGACAGCCCAGCAAACTGCTTCCTCATTTCCTTGGGAAACTGACCTTGTAACCATATGGCCGTGCTCTCTTTTCACAGTGGTGGCCTGGGTTCAGGTCCTGGTAAAAATGGTGGTATATCCACTTAATGAACTGCTGAACAGCAATGAGAATGAATAAGCTGCAACGATGAACCACAACCTGAGTGAAACTCACGATGCGAGGGCCAAAAGAAGCCGCACAACAAAGAGTAGAGAGTGTGCAGTTCCATTTGTAAGGTATAAAGGAAAAACTAAAAATAGACAAAACTAATTCATTTTTAAAGTTCTAGAGTAAGACAGGGTCCCACTCTACCACCAGGCTGGAGTGCAATGTGATCTTAGCTCACTGCAGCCTTGCATTCCTGGGCTCAAGTGATCCTCCTGCCTCAGCCTCCCAAGCAGCTGGGACTACAGGCACACACCACCATACCCCACTTTTTTTTTTTTTTTTTTTTGAGATGGAGTTTTGCTCTTGTTGCCCAGGCTGGAGTGTAATGGCAAGATCTCTGCTCACCACAACCCCCACCTCCTGGCTTCAAGTGATTCTCCTGCCTCAGCCTCCTGAGTAGCTGAGATTACAGGCATGCAACACCACGCCTGACTAATTTTGTATTTTTAGTAGAGACAGGGTTTCTCCATGTTGGTCAGGCTGGTCTCAAACTCCTGACCTCAGGTGATCCGCCCACCTCGGCCTCCCAAAGTGCTGGAATTACAGGTGTGAGCCACCATGCCTGGCCTACTTTTTTTTTTTTTTTAGCTGAAGTCTTACTCTGTTGCCAAGGCTGGAATGCAGTGGCAGCAATCTCGGCTCACTGCAACCTCCGCCTCCTGGGTTCAAGCAAATTCTTCTGCCTCAGTCTCCCAAGTAGCAGGAATTACAGGCACTAACCACCATGCTCAGCTAATTTGTGTATTTTTAGTAGAGACAGGGTTACACCATGCTGGGCAGGATGGTCTAGATCTCCTGACCTCGTGATCTGCCCACCTCAGCCTCCCAAAGTGCTGGGATTAAAGGCATGAGCCACTGCACCCAGACGCACCCCACTAATTTAAACATTTTTTTGTGGAGATGAGATCTCACTATGTTGCCCAGGCTTGTCTCAAACTCCTGGGCTCAAGGAGTTCTTCTACCCCAGCCTCTCAAAATGCTGAGATTACAGGTGTGAGCTGCTGTGCCAGCTAAAAACTAACCTATTATTCTAGAAGTTAGAACCGTTGTTACTGTTGACAAAAAAAAGTCAAACTCTGTAAAATGTTTAAAGAGGTTTACTTTGAGCCAAACGTGAGTGACCATAGCCTGAGGGACAGTCTCAAGAGGTCCTGAGAAATGTGTCCAAGGTGGTTCAGTTACAGCTTAGTTTTCTATGTTTTAGGGAAACATAAGACATCAGTCAATACATGTGAGGCATATATTGGTTCAATCTAGAAAGGCAGCACAACACTAGTGGAGGAAGCGTGCTTCTAGATGATAGGTAGATTCAAAGATTTTCTTTTTCTTCTTTTTTTTTTTTTTGTAGACAGAGTTTCTCTCTGTCAGCAGGCGCCAGGCTGGAGTGCAGTGGCGCAATCTTGGCTCACTGCAACCTCTGCCTCCTGGGTTCAAGAAAATTCTCCTGCCTCAGCCTCTCAAGTAGTTGGGACTACAGACACACACCACCACGCTCAGCTAATTTCTGTATCTTTTAGTAGAGACATGGTTTTACCATGTTGGCCTAGATGGTCTCCATCTCGGCCTAGATGGTCTCCATCTCTTGACTTTGTGATCCCCACCCCCACCACGCTGGCTCACGCCTGTAATCCCAGCACTTTGGGAGGCCTAGGCGGGCGGATCACGAGGTCAAGAGATGGAGACCATCCTGGTCAACAAGGTGAAACCCCTCTCTACTAAAAATACAAAAATTAGCTGGGCATGGTGGTGCATGCCTGTAGTCCCAGCTACTCGGGAGGCTGAGGCAGGAGAATTGCTTTAACCCAGAAGGCGGAGGTTGCGGTGAGCCGATATGGCGCCACTGCACTCCAGCCTGGGTAACAAGAGCGAAACTCCGTCTCAAAAAAAAAAAAAAAGAAAGAAGGAAAGATTTTCTTATAGGCAATTTGTTGAAAGAGTTATTACCCAGAGACCTGGAATCAATAGAAAGCAGTGGTTAAGATTAAGAAATTGTGGAGACTTGCAAGGTTCTTATTATGTAGATGAAGTCGCATAGGTGGCCACCCTTAGAGGTAACAGATGGCAAATGTTTTCTATTTAGAACTTTAAAAGGTGCTGGTCTCTCAGTCAATCTCTTCAGGATCAGAAAAAGACTTGGAAAGGGAAGGGGATTCTCTATAGAAAGGAAATTTCGGCTGGGTGCAGTGGCTCACTCCTGTAATCCCAGCACTTGAGGCAGGTGGATCACGAGGTCAGGCGTTTGAGACCAGCCTGGCCAACATAGTGAAACCCCGTATCTACTAAAAATTAAAATTAAAAAAAATTACCTGGGTGTGGTGGTGCATGCCGTAATCCCACCTACTCGGGAGGTTGAGGCAAGAGAATCCCTTGAACCCGGGAGGTGGAGTTTGCAGTGAGCCAAGATTGCACCACTGCACTCCAGCTGGGGCGACAGTGCATGAGTCCGTCTCAAAAAAAAAAAAAGAAGAAGTAGTAAATTTTCCCCACAAGCACAGGATACGGCTTTGCAGAGCTGTTTAAAAATATGTCATCAAAGTTGATCCTTTCGTAGTTCAAGAGTACATTGATTGGGCGTTCACGTGCATCTATCTCAGATGTGTCACCCTCAAACCTTTTTAGGATGTTGGCACATTACCCGTCTGACATAAAAGAAAATCAATAATAAATAAAAATATGTTAAAGAAATATATTCTGGGGTAAAAAAAATTTATTCATTTCAGAGCCTGCTATCTGTCATATGATGCTAATCTAGAATCAGGTTGGAATGTGGTATTTTATTGCTACAAAGAGTCTGCTTTGTCACCCGTAAGATCTCTGTTTTAATATTAATGCTGGTCAGCTGTGCCTGAATTCCAATGGGAGGAGATTATAATGAGGCATATCCGACCCCCATTGGAAATCCCCTTGGTGGAGAGGAGTGGAGTCCGTTCAACCATTTGGCAGGGAGCTTATAATTTCCTTTTTGGTTCACATTACCCTTGTGGGAATTCATGACTGGAAGACAGCAAGAGGGAGTCTTCCAAGATTCTGGTAGATCCTGATTCTTGATTTGAATTCTGGTTCTATGGAAATAAATTTTGCAAAAATTCATGAAACTGCAAACTTTTAATATGTATACTTTTTTCTTTTTTTTTGGAGACAAGAGTCTCTGTTATCCAGGCTGGAGTGCAGTGGCACAATCTTGGCTCTCTACAACCTCTGTTTCCCAGATTCAAGTGATTCTGGTGCCTCAGCCTCCTGAGTAGCTGCGATTACAGGTGTGTACCACCATGCCAGGCTAATTTTTGTATTTTTAGTACAGGCAGGGTTTTGCCATGTTGGCCAGGCTAGTCTCAAACTCCTGACCTCAGGTTATTTACCTGCTTCAGCCTCCCAAAGTCCTGGGATTACAGGCATGAGCCACCATACCTGGCTAACATGTACACTTTTTGTAGGTATGTGATATTTCAATAATTTTATATAAATTAAAAAAAATAAATGTATATATTTTAAAACCTGGCCTCACTGTGCATACACACATGCAAAAATCATTACATCATATAGAACTTTATAAAAATTGTCCAAAATTCAGAAACACACATACACACACATGTGCAAACAACACACACATGCACAGTAAGAGAGAGAGAAAGAGAAAGAGATCCTGGTAGTGTGGTGAAAAGAAGAGGGTCACATTTGTGGAGTGTGATTAGAAACAATCCTCAACCCCTAGTAGATGTGAAGGAAACCGGTTTGAGGAGAAAGAGGAACTAGTAAGCAGTATAGTATGACTCGCCCAAGAGCAATGACAACCAGCGCGGCCCTTTGGCAGTCCAACTAGCACTTGGACTTTGAACAAAAAGTTGGTAAAATTATTTAGAGGTGTGGGTGAGTAATGGGGTGTGCCCTGGAGCATTATTTGGTCAAATTGGTTTCTGCCCTATAGTAGATCAACACATAGATCACACATTAACTACTCCCATTCCTCTTGAGAATGGCCCATGTACCCCCGGGAGTAAGACCCTGACCATTTCCCATGGTTATTCCTGTGATTCTAATATCCTTTAGATTGAGTGTTAAGTCCGTATCTAATGAATCTTTCCAGAATCTCAAGCAACAGTAATAAGATTTTAATGTAAATCTCTGATAAACTTTTTTTTTTCTATTTTTTGAGACAGGGTCTTATTCTGTCACCTAGGCTGGAGTGTAATGGTGCAATCTCGGCTCAATGCAACCTCCACCTCCCCAGTTCAAACAATTCTCCTGCCTCAGCCTCCTGAGTAGCTCGAATTACAGGTGCCCATCACCATGCCTGGCTAATTTTTATATTTTTAGTAGAGACAAGGTTTCACCATGTTGGTCAGGCTGATCTGCAAATCTTGACCTCAGGCGATCCGCCTGCCTTGGCCTCCCAAAGTGCTGGGGTTTCAGGCATTGGCCACTGCACGTGGCCTGAGAAACTTGTTAAAAACACAGATTTCTTGGGGCAAAGATTCTGATTCGGCTGGTCACCGGTGGAATTCAAGAATCTTCATTTTAGCCAGCTTCCCTTGCCTTTCCACTCAGCTGCCATAAGAGTCTATGTTAAGCACGCTCTAAATGAAGAGACCACCCAGTGAGCATTTGAGCCCTGTCTTTAAGTCCTTTGATGGCATCATATACAAGGCTGGATTGGTTTAGATAAAAGCAGCATTCTTCATTTAGGAATAGGCAGAGTACTCCTTTCTCAGCAGTCAATAGATCCAGGCCTCAGCGATTTTGGAGGACAGCTGCAGCCAGAGAATAAACTTGGGCTTGGAGAACAGGCTTTGTGTGAACAACAAGGCTGTTTATTCACCTGGGTGAGGGCAGGCTGAGTCCAAAAAGAGTCAGCAGAGGGCAGTGGGATAGGAGTTGCTTTTATAGGTTTGGGGTAGGCAGTGTACAATTACAGAAGTTACAGTTCAGGGCAGTTTTTGCAAGCCAGGGGAGTGTCCCTGGGGTGGGATATCACAAGGTCCAAGGTCCAGTGTCACAAGGTTGGCTTATCAGTCGAGGCAGGAACGGTTGAGGCATGAACAATGGCAGAATGTTGCAAAGTCCGTTAATCAGCCAATGCAGGAGATAGCCATTCTTCTTCTTTTCTGGAAGTTTACATACAGGTCACAGGGATCACCATGGCTTGAGCGTGGTGTAGTCCGTGGTGCAGTCAGTTCAAAGAACCTTACAGTCTGGACTTTTTTTTTCTTTTTTTTTTGAGACAGAGTTTTGCTCTTGTTACCCAGGGTGGAGTGCAATGGTACAATCTCAGCTCACCACAATCTCCACCTCGCAAGTTCAAGTGATTCTCCTGCCTCAGCCTCCCAAGTAGCTGGGATTACAGGAATGCGCCACCATATCCAGCTAATTTTTGTATTTTAGTAGAGACAGGGTTTCACTATGTTGGTCAAGCTGGTCTTGAACTTCTGACCTCTTGATCTGCCCGCCTGGGCCCCCCAAAGTGCTGGGATTACAGGGCAGTCTGGATTTTTTCTTTTTCTTTTTTTTTTTTGAGACAGAGTTTCGCTCTTGTTACCCAGGCTGGAGTGCAATGGCGCGATCTCGGCTTACCGCAACCTCCGCTCCTGGGTTCAGGCAATTCTCCTGCCTCAGCCTCCCGAGCAGCTGGGACCACAGGCACACGCCACCATGCCCAGCTAATTTTTTGTATTTTTAGTAGAGACGGGGGTCTCACCATGTTGACCAGGATAGTCTCGATCTCTTGACCTCATGATCAAGGGTTCAAGCGATTCTCCCACCTCAGCCTCCCGAGTAGCTGGGATTATAGGTACCCGCCATCATGCCTGGCTAATTTTTGTATTTTTGTAGAGACAGGGTTTCATCATGTTGGCCAGGCTGTTCTTGAACTCCTGACTTCAGATGATCCACCCACCTCCCCCTCCCAAAGTGCTGGGATTACAGGCCTGAGCCACGGCACCCAGCCACACTTCTTTTATAAGGGCACTAATCTCCATCACAAGGGCATAGTCCTCATGATCTAATCACCTCCCGAAAAGACCCATCTTCCAATACCATTGCATTGGGAGTTCCATTTTAACAGATGAATGTTGTGGGGACATCACCATTCAGATCAGAGCAATGCCTGTGCTATAAAATTGGAGATCACAATACTAATTAACACCAAGTTAGCCAGGCCCAGAGGCTCACATCTACAGTCCCACTGGTGGATCATACCACTGCTCTCCAGTTGGGTGACAGGGCAAGACCCTGTCTCTAAAAATAATAATAATAATAATAAGGACCTAAAGTGTAATAGGGACTCTAATGTGTGTTTGAAATACATTATCTTATTTATTTCTCCTCACACACAGTATGTGGTAAATATACATTATCCTCATTTTACAGATAAGGAAACAAAAACTCAGAGAATATTTATTAAGTCATAGAGCAGGAATTTAAATCCACTGCCATTTTCAAAACATGCACTTTGGTGAGCAAATGATTATTCTATTTAGCTTTGTAGTCGATTAATGTCAGTTGAATAAACCAAACAATAAAGGTCCTCCAGGTATTTGGCTTGCAGATTACCACATTGCAAGCCAATTACAATCAGACAGCCCTGGATGATGTGGGCAGGACGGCTTGGATACTTGGCTATTTGGAGACAGCTGCCCGCTCCATAGATAAGGACTTCTACTCCTGTGTAGTAGTAGCATTAACACAAACAACCGTGTGATGCTATAAATAAGGCAGCGCCGTGGCCTCAGGATAACACACCTGACAGGTGACTTTGCTCAGGATCACACAGCCACTAATTGCCAGACTCATTTGAATGACCATGGTGGAAGCACCCAGTGTATTTTCCTCCATGGAGTTGCCATCTTCATCATTAAACGTGCCCAGTCCTGCCTTCCTTCCCTTTTTGTCTTCTACTTACCACATGCTTGTGGCACACAATGCTAATCCAATCGCTTTCCTTCCTCCTTTCATAGTTTTTATTACAAAAGGGATGCGTCGATTTCATTAAAGATGCAAAGATCAGGCCAGGCACGGTGGCTCAGGCTTCTAATCCCAGCAATTTGGAAGGCTGAGGTAAGAGAATCAGTTGAGGCCAGGAGTTTGAGAGGAGCTCAGACAGCATAGTGAGATTCCATCTCTACAAAAAAAAATCAATAAACAAAAATTAGCCAAGTGTGGTGGCACGTGCTTATAGTCCCAGTTTTGTGGGAGGCTGAGGCAAGATCACTTAAGACCAGGAGGTTGAGGCTGTGATGAACTATAATGCCACTGCACCCCAGCCTGGGTGATGGAGCAAGACCCTGTCTCTAAAAGTAAAAATAAAAGTTGCAAAAATGGAAAAAGAGCAAAATGTGAAAGTCCTTCTTTCCTCCTCACAACTCCCAGCCACTTCCTCTTTCAGAGGTAACCTCAGCCAGCACATTACAGAGCATTCTTGTTTCCTGCTCTGTGTGTGCATCTAGGAGTAGGAATATATGCACCTGAATCTTTCGTTTGTCAGAGGCCTGGTTCTGTGACCTGCATTTTCCATTCAGTGAGGCATGGTCAGGCCCTGCTGTAAATTTGTGGGGTCCTCTAATATAGTCACACACATGCATTTACATGCTGGAGTACACATTTTATATAAATACTTCCTTTAATTGTGTATAGCATTATTTTGTATCCAAAT